GGAATTTGAAAATCATGCCCCCAATTTTTTTTCTAAGTTGATGCTCCTACCAATCGTACAAATAATTACATACTCCAAAACAACGTTTAGAAATGGCTGAGTTCGGGTGGCTTGTTCTTGTTTGTTCACGAACAGCTGGATTTGTGTTCGTGGATCGGCCTCTCGAACGCCGGGAACGTACAACCGGTTATTACAACTGGTGGTTATTTGTGGAAAGCAACATGCAACATGGCAGCGTCCTTGTGCATTTTTTGAGAGTTAATGTCAAATAACTGGGCTAACTTCTTTAATTTCCATTTTAAAAATTAATGTCTGTCATGGAAAATTATTAACATTAATTTTGCAAAACTTTCCATTGTCTCCGGCTTTGTAAGCCATATCGATACTTTTTGCGGCTGTTTAATTAAAAATCAAATCTCACGGTTTTCCCGCTTGGTCGTGTAAAACCCTGACGAGGAGGTGGTGTGTGATCCTGTTCTGAGAACAGTGTCTTGGGTCGCGTTCCCGCCGTTTGAGCGCGAGAACACGAAATCCGTGTCAACAACAGGCCGCCCGAACTCGACCAATACGGGCGATTCACAATAGTGCGCCTCCAAGAGTTTGCAACACGTTGGCCAATCACAACCCGCGAAATCTGTCGACCCTTTCCAAACGCCCACTGGGTCGACAGATTTCGCACACTGTGGAAATAGAGAAGAAAAACGAGCAGATGAGGGGCCTCTCTATAAGATTAACTGCGGTACAGTGTTGGGGCCTCAAAGTCCATAGCGTGGAGTACCTACAGGCACGTGACTCAAAGTTTGTTTTAGACGATAACAAACCAAACTCCGAACACCGCGAAGGTCAACTTCCCGAATTATTACGTACACGGGAATTGGATCCTTCCTGTTCTATTTTTCTCGACGAAATGGTAGACAAAACGTGCTTTTTATCGCCCGTGGTCTTGATTCTGCTGTCGCTAGCATGCCCTCAGTTAGTATGGCTGACGGAGTTTCCCTTCCAGAATGCTACCCTGCCTTGGGAAGAACGACTGAATGATCTAGTCTCTCGGCTGGAACTCGAAGACATCATCCTTCAACTGGCCCGCGGTGGAGCCGGCCCCAACGGCCCAGCGCCCCCGATTCCCCGCCTGGGCATCGGCCCGTACAACTGGAACACGGAGTGCCTGCACGGAGATGCTGAGGCCGGGAATGCTTCCACGTGGCCCCAGGTTATAGGAGTGGCCGCATCCTTCGCGTATGGCAGTTTTGGTCATTTCGATCACATATCGCCATTTTAAATGTTCTGTTGTTTCGACGAGTTGAAACAATAATAGACGATAACGTATCATGCCTAAGAACACACCCTGTACCATATGTAAGACTAGAATTACCCACAAATTTCGAGATCGATATCCTACACCACGATGCCTCCGTATACTCCAATGTTGAAATGTACTAGTGAAGGCGATTGACACAAAATACCACTTAAGTTGCAAGACAAACTTGACCTGTGGTTAACAAATTGTAGTCTGTCAACCTTACCCTCTGCTTTTTCTTTTTCATTTATTTCTCTACGTCCCTTATAGCATTGCACAACGTCGATGACATTTTGTGTCAATAGCCTTCAGTTATTCACTTCAACATACCGAGGCCTCTTGTTGTGGAGCATCGATCTAGAAATTTCTGCGTATATTCTACTGATTGTGGGTTTGAAACCAGCCTGATATGTTACAATGTGTGTCCTTAGGCAGGACACTGTATCACTATAATTGCTTCATCTTTGAGTAAAACGGATTCCTGCAATATCAGAGATGGTTATTGATTAATTCCCTGAAAGGGCTGCATTCGAGCAGTTGATACATCCTACATCTATAGGGTGCTGGGATATTTGGCAGGATGATGATGTATCGTCTTTACAAGCAATATTACTGAATGTTTTGCGCTTTATAAATACATTAGTATGTTTTTAAAATGAATAAATTATTTATTGTTACTTTTCTATTAATAATACAGTTCGCTGCTCTTGTTGGCATACCTTTTTTTTTTAATTCGCCGATCCTTTTATCACAAGAGGTCTAAACAGTCTCAAAAATGCATGTGTAATAGTTACATTTCCTTTTCAGTGCTGATTTGGCAAAGAGTGTAGCTAGTGCCACAAGTGAGGAAGTTCGAGCAAAGTACAACAACTTCACCCGGCACGGCATTCGTCGGGATCACTGTGGGCTGACATGCTTCAGCCCCGTGGCAAACATCATGAGGCATCCGCTGTGGGGAAGAAATCAGGTGGGCTCACGTTTGGGTTCGCGGCGGTTCACCACGGCCGTGTATCATATCTGTGTATGCGAACTTTCGACTTCAGCGTCGGTTTTGAAGGAAACAAACTGGCTGGTGTACATGTATGTGCCAGTGCTCAGGGATAGCTGGTATGCGATAGCTGCACGCCCCACAGTACACACCATAAACAGCCACCCCCCCTCCAAAAAAAAATCTGAAGCTAGCGCTTCTCCCTCTATACACGGCTTGACAGTCACTTCATAGCCAAAGACTCAGTCGATTTTTTCTTCCTTTTTCCAGGAGATGGGTAAAGGCCCGCACGAACATGTGTTTCGTTTAAAGCTTTAAAATGGTTAACAAAAACGATGCCCTATCCAAGACGCTTGATATACCACAGGTGAATCTTTTAACATGTACGCTTGTACAGCGACTATTTGACTATCGTCAAACCCATTATGACTGTTTTCCTTCTCACAGACTTTGTGTACGAATATTACTCTTGTTGATTGATTGAAATTGGACAAGAATCACCCCATCTAGGATTGTTGTCACATATTCTCATTAAACGTTGCATACAGTCACATATCAACACGAACAATGTTTTCCATTATTCTAGCAGACCTTTACATGAATTTGTTTTCACAGTCCTGATTCGTGCCAATTCACCCGATTCACTATATGACCATAGACTTTACAAGGCCTAGCGCTTTCATGTTCCGGTAACAAATTGTAGCAAATACCTCCGCTGGTACATTCCAGTAGACTTTTGTTTGATTCGTGACCTAACGTAAGAATGATATTCATAGACGTCGGGGAGGGGGCACTTTTTCCGGGGGGGGTGATTCCCGGAGGCGGCGATAAAGCATCCACTATCACGTCACTTCAGTTTAAACCACGCCCACTGCACATAGAGTTACTTGGAACAATGGAACCGTGGAACAGGAAGTTAGCGCGCAACTTTATAATGTTCGTCCAATGGGAGCCTGCAATTAGTGTGCATCTGCGTATCCCTAACGAACTGGATACGGACTGGCGAACGTTAACAGTCAAAAGAGGCGAATTTCGAGTTTGTTTCTCAGAAACTGGTAATTTTCACCCTCTCCCGTAAAATTCCTCCACCTTCTCCTGTTTTCCTTTTTTATTTTGTGGGGGGGGGCAATCGCCTCCTTGGCCCTCGTAGCAACGCCCATGATCACATTCGCAAATGGAGTCGTGGCATTCATATCCATGTACAAATTTTCCAACCAGGAAACATTCGGTGAGGACCCGTTCATGACGGGGGAGATGGTCAGCTCCTACGTCAACGGCTTACAAGGGCTCGATGGACCCGTCGCACGATACCTTCGGACCGGTGCAGGCTGCAAAGACTTCGCTGTCTTCAGCGGGCCAGAAGACTACCCTGCCTCAAAATACACCTTCAATTCTGGGGTTAGTTCTGAAAGATTAAAACAGAATCTTGCAATGCGAAGAATATTTTAATTTCGAAGTATCAATGATCACAGTGTAGGAATCAAATTGGAAAATGGCCAGTGGAAATAATTCGTGGCAACTGCTTAATTTGACCAAAGAATGAATTCACAGATAGTTCCCGGCCGAATTTGTCGACGAAACTGGGCTACAACCCTTAATCGGACATTTAATTATGTTTGTATTTTGCGCACGCACGAAAAAAGTATTGCATGACACATCTCTTGCATATTATGTCGCGCGCACGAGATAATTATTTCGTGCGCACTCACAGGCTCTATTAGGTTTGACAAATCAGATCTACAAATCGAAGAAGGGTTCAAGGAAAGCCTCCCAGAAACACTGTTGGATTCTGGCCTAATCTGAATCGAAATGATGTGGTGGTTGGTTTCAAACCTGTTACCTTAGTAACAACGCCGTAAACACTTTCATTTAATTAACTTCTGATCTCTATCGTCTTGTTTTATAGGCAACGGAGCGGGATTTGTATATGACATACCTGCCAGCCTTTCATGAATGTATCAAGGCTGGGGCGTACAGCGTCATGTGCGGCTATAACAAGTGCGTATTACCTGCGTAATCGTCGGGTGCCCGGCAGAAGGGCGTCAGCGCTCACGCCCTTCTGCCGGGCACACGACGCGTTATCAATGTAACTTCTGTCCGACCATGGTGGCATTCAAACCACCGGAAATGTTCATTTGCCGGCATCCCAGATCACCAGATATCTGATCAAATCGCTTGATTGTTATCAAAGAGGGTGTATTAAACCAACAATGTCAGGCAGGAACTATTTGTCCACTATCGTCTTGTTTTTACCACTGGCAAAGGTCAGTCACTATTGACACGTGCACAAAGCGGGTAATATTCTTGTGACGTGTTCTTCCCATTCAGAATTGACAGCGTTCCCGCCTGTCTCAACCAGAGATTCCTCAAGGACATCCTCCGCACAGAGTTCGGCTTCAAGGGGTACGTGGTGAGCGAGAAGAGCGCCCTGGAATATGCCTTCCTGAAGGACAACTACACCCAGACGGCGCTGGAGACGGCGGTGGCTGCTGTGAAGGCCGGATGCAACTTGGAACAGTCCGACACGCCCCACAACATCTACACTAACCTCACCGCGGCCGTCCAGATGAAACTAGTGACGGTCGACGAGCTCCGGGAACTGGTCAGGCCGCTATTTTACACCAGGCTGAGACTCGGGGAATTCGATCCGCCGTCGATGAATCCCTGGGGCCGGTTCAACGCCTCGGAGGTCGTGGAATCGCTTCAACACCAGAATTTCGCTCTAGAGGGAGCCCTACAGACTTTTGTTATGTTGAAGAATGAGAACAACACGCTACCTGTTGGTGGAGTTCCAATAATTGCAGTAAGTTGTTTGAGATTATCCAGAGGCGGATGAAGAACCAATTTTTTCAGTTTTATGTCATCCTTTCTGGTACTTGTGAAGAATGAGAATAATTCCTAGGTTGTTCTACAAGGTTTGGGAAGGAAAGAATATATGAAAAAGCCGCCTACTTAAAAGAAGTACTTCTCTCACGAATAAGAAGAGGGACGTGGACCTCGTTGGTCCCCTTAAAGTCACAACTCATGTCCAAGAATTACGATTTGGTTGAATCTGTTGGGGTCATCATCATTTCTTGGATGATCGTCCATGAGAACATGATTTGGTGAGTTCTCTTCCCGAAAGAAGCAAATCTGTAATATGCAGGAAACATTTGCACAACCCGGCACCCCACACCCAAGCAAAATGGACTGCATAAATTCCGTTAGGAGAAATTATAGCCCCATGACCAAATAACCCGTTGGGTTATTCCTAAATTCGGGTTAATCCTTCGGTTGCTGTCTCCCCCCCCCTCTCTCTCTTAAAAAATTTCGCGCACATATCTCAGATAGTTGGACCGTTTGCCGATTCCCCACAAGAGATTCTAGGAAGTTTCGCCCCACAGACCGACCCCAAATTTATCAGCACGCCTTGGGGCGGCCTGGGCGGTCTTGGCAAGGTTCGGCGACTCGCTCCCGGCTGTAACAATCCGGTATGCGATCAGTACAACCAAACGGCTATCATGGAGGCGGTGACGGGAGCCGATCTGGTGATTGTGTGTCTAGGAACAGGTAAGGACGAAGATGCAGAACAGTTTACCGTTTACTGTTTTAAAGATCACACAAATTTGAGCTTTCACAATTTCTCTATGAAGCCTTCAGCGCTTCATCCTTTTACTCCAAAAACATACCTGAGATATTTTAGACCATACGACGATACAAGGCGCCCCCTATAAGCGTAAATAGTTACAAGCTTAATGGAATAAAATGCTGAAAACTGGAAAGCTAAAGGGGTCTCCAAATTGCTCCAATTCAAAGCAGGATCCTGTAAGAGCATACTGAATACTCCCCATGAAGGAAACATGCCCTTCCACATTTGCCTTTCGTTAAAGAAAGACATGTCACGGTCACTTCAGGATTGCATAGTTCCTCTGTCCCGCCTAGCCTCTTAAACTTAGCCTTGGAAGTGCTTACGAATATTAAATAAGAAGAAACGGGACTTAATATTTTGAATTATTACATTTTGTTTCAAGGAACTCAGATTGAGAATGTGGGCTTAGACAGACGAAACATGTCTCTACCCGGCCACCAGCTGTTGCTCCTCCAGCAGGCTGTCAAGTATGGTAGGCCAACCTGTGTTACCATGAAGGATTGTGGTCGACGGTAACATGGTGTACAAATTCTGCCCTGTGAGTTTCTCAGCAATGTTTTTCATTTCAGCCTTGGGGAAGCCATTGGTTCTACTCCTGTTCAGCGGTGGTCCCTTGGATATCGGCTGGGCTGACAGTAACCCTGGTGTCCACACCATCCTGCAATGCTTCTTTCCCGGTCAGGCAACGGGTGGGGCTCTCAAGAACCTCTTCACCAACAGCCAGTTTCCCGTAGCAGCTGGTCCTTCAGGAAAGCTTCCGTTCACGTGGCCAGCTTCCATGGATCAGGTAACGGGCCTGCAGATTCCGACTTATACAACGGACTCCGAGTAATATGGCGCTGCCTTATCCATTCAGAGAGCTCCAATTTTGGAGGATAGCCAGCTGATTGCGCACGCACTAGTTAGCCTGATGCATAATTATGAAACGTGTCTAATATTCAACTGAATGCGTACAAACGCCTTCACAGTGTTTTGGCCTGGACATAATACTGGCGTTTCACAATAGTGCGCCTCCAAGAGTTTGCAACGCGTTGGCCAATCACAATGTGCGAAATTTCTCGACCCAATGCACAACGTATGTTGCACAGGTTTACGCACTATTGTATAATAGTTAATGCTCCTGGGTGTATGTGTTACAGTGACATGGCTTATTTTCAACATACAGCCATGCTGCGCTCAATTGTTGAACATATCCACATCGATGAATTTTGTTGATGAGATTATCTCGCATCGACTGCACGCAGCGTTGACATCCACGCCCAACCTGTTTATACGGACTCACTCCCTGAAGAACTTTATTAATAACTGGTGCTCTGCAATGAAAGATCACTGTTTTGTGTTTACCGTATTTGATCCACTTTAAATCATTCACCAAGCGACTAACTAATGGATACCATAAAAATGGTCGGGCACAAACAAGTTTCTCGATCGCTTTTAGTCAGTCTAGGACTATTTAACTGGACAGAACGTGCATTTTCTTCAACAGGTGCCGCCAATAACCAACTATAACATGACTGGTCGGACTTACCGCTATTTCACTGGCGATCCCCTCTATCCTTTTGGTTATGGTCTCTCATTCACTTCAATCAAGTACATCAACGTGAGTGTCGGCAATACTACTATCAACCCTTGTGATGATCTGATGGTGTATGTTGCACTCGTAAACACTGGGACAGTCTATGCATATGAGGTAATGTTTTTAGTTATCCCATTTACATTTTGGAATTCAGTGCAGTCGTCACAATTTGAATTTGGACAAAAAGATAGTAGGGGTATGAAGAAATTTTCTCGAAAGTAAGAATTCCAAATCGGAGTTTTATACTTAATCAGGTGAATTCTTCAAACGTTCCAAGCATGATGATTCCTAAAGATAAACACAGTCTATGGAAATGTGATATTTTTTCATCTCTAGTCGGTTCAAGTCTACATAAAATGGCATAACGCATCTGTGCCCGCGCCCAATATCCAGCTGGCAGCCTTTACCCGCTTGAGGACGACAATGGACAACCCAGTGACCGTTTACCTAAGAATGCCGGCCCGCGTGAGGGCGGTCTTCACAGACCAGTTAGTGCTTGAGCCCGGCATGTTTACGGTGTACGGTGGCGGTCAGCAACCCAACCAAAAAAGACAAGCGCCCTCCAACGTGGTCAATACGACTTTTACCGTGCAAGGCCCTGTCACACCACTTTCAAAGTGTCCCTGAGAAGAGACCAAAGTCTTACTGAATGGCTGTTCTTAATTAAAAAGATATACATCGAATTGGACACATTTCTGTGCAGTAGCAACAGTTTTGCTGAAGTCTGACATTATGCGATGGAAAGTAACATCACGGAAACATACCTTTATGCTTTGTAGTGTACAGAAAATACTCCGTTACAGTATTAAAGGGTTTATGCTTAAGCTTAGCAATGAGTTTTCCATAATTTGACAACAGCATACCAAAGGAGCGTACCACACTCGTGGCCTACTTCTTTTGTGCTATATTCGTGTAAGATATCTTTGTCTTCAATTTTGCTCAATTTTTGGTTGCAAAATCTTTTCGTGTTGCTTATCAATGATGTTTAAAAGAAACACGTAAAGAATTTTTCCCGTATTCACTTTCTGAGGTTTGTGTGCTCTTCTTCAATGTTATGGAAAGTATCTAGCCTCCTTTGGAGTTACGTATACTGGAATGTGCACTTTTAAACATTACAAATTGTCCAAGCTTTTTCAAGTGCTGTTGATGTGACGTAAATCAAACAAAACACTGTCTGATTTTCATGTGTCGGTATGTCAAATCTTTTCACGTGTACTATATTAAAGTAAACTTAATACATGTATGAATAAGATTTGTCATAATGCTCTGCGCTGCTCCTATTTCGATGACAAATTACTCAGACTGATATACATGAAATGTGAAGCATCCATTCTTATAAAACAGCAATTCCAGCTTAATGTGAAACGGACAGCAAATAATTACTGGTGTATTGGTATCTTCCCAACTTCCCCTTTATGGATGATGTATGCAAACACCAAATTCGATTCAAACATGCCACTTCCACCTGTAGATTATGAATATTACTTGAAATTTATATGGCGGATTCTATAGAATTAAAGATGTTCAGCCACTTGATGACAAAAAGGTGGCCAACGCAAGATAATTTTAACACAAAAACTTTGGAAACACACGTGCCTATTCTACATTTACGGTCACTAAATCGCAATATGAAGCATATAAAAAGGAAAAAACCCAGATTGCCTCTGTGATTGGATCAAAAGTAAGTGCGTAAAACTTCCACCTCTGCCACATTTATTTTAACAGTTTTCAAAAACATACCAACATTTATCGCTCCACTACAACAGTTGCAAGCTAAAACTATAATCAAACCAAAACAAGAGAAAACTCGATTTCCCTTTGTACAATGTATCACTGTAACAACCACCACCTGCTGTTCCGTTTTGTTGATGACGTCATCTGCGACAGAATCAATCAACGCAATCAACGCCCTTCTCTGATGTATCTAGATAAAAGTGGAAATAACTAGGAATGTATTATTTTTAACAGGTCCCCGTCTTGATGCGAGCTGCCAATCAAAACTTGTTCAGCAGTCTAGTGCATGCCTAGTGTTACATAACACCAAGGCTCGAAGGCAAATGCTGCACATGTTGCAAAGTGCGAGGACTCAGTGCAAGGGAGCCTGTTGAATATTCCCCATATTGTGTTAACGGAAAGATAACTACAAATACATAAGCCTGACTGATGAATGAGGTGGACCGTGCATTACACTGGTATTCTCAAATGAACGGCCAAGATATTTTCTGTATGAACAAAGTATACATAATGCATGCGACATGGGGTTCATTTTGAACGCTCACGCGGCTGACGTTTCCAATATTTTTCATTTTCGTCTCATTGTTTTATCTAAAAGCCGAACACATATCAATTCATCTTTCAATGAATCGGCAAAGTTGATCCAAAACGAGCCTATAATCTCAACGAACAGAGATCGATTCATTGCTAGGTAAAAAGGTTGCTTAGCCAATCATCTTGAGATCAGTCGATGCCAATGAGGCATCTTTCCACAAAACCCCTCAATTTCAATCTGGCAATTTAACCGTTTAATTTTGAAATTTCAGTTTTCTATTTGGAAATTGCACCGTTACGTTCGACAGTTTCACCACTCTATTCTGTAACATAACCTTTCCATTTAGCAAGTTCTATTCTGTCGACTGTGCAGAATACCAAACCAAATCCACGTCTAGTCGCTATTCCAGGCTTCCTCGTGCGCTCAGAATTTAAGATTGACCCGGTGTCAAAAAGGCTCTTTAGTCAAGAGGACTGACGCAGCAAAGAATAATGAATTTGCCGAAAAGAATAATATGTTTTGTAGAATGGAAGGAAAGTTTGCCGTGTACAATCTTATTACGCGTAAAATCGAGTAGCTGTACCAACGCATGGAATCAAATACTTTCAAAAGGGAAAATATACAAAGGAAAATTATGTTTTCGCGGAGTGAAACAATTTTTCACGATATGTTTAGACAAATAAGGCAAAATGAATTAATAAAAAATTGCCGAATAGAACGGTGCAAATGATGAGTTGGATGATGAAATTCGGCAAATAGAATGATGAAACTGCCAAACGAAACCAGCAACAGAACGGCGAAACTGTGGAACAAAATGGTGAATTAAACGAAACCAACGATATGGGGCTACCGAAGATAGCAAAAGCGTTCAATGTGTTTGCCTTTGCTGGGCAAAGGCACCAACAGTCAACCAGGTACATATACTCACCGTGCACTTCGGTAACTCGATCGCAGATTCGCTGGTACTCCGACGACAGTTTGAGCTGTTCAAAGGCCGGGTTCCACCAATCCGGCAGCCGGCTGTCTTTACGGACCATCATGCCGGCGCCTCCTTTCATGCAGTTCGTAATTGGGTCACCCACAATCTGTAAATCCTCATCCAGATTGAAGAATTGGGTATTGCTAAAAGCAGCATCTACCTGTGGGGAAGGAAGGCAATTTAAATTGTGTAACGGAAGTCTTTAATCATTTGTAGCTGCAACGGGAATGCGCTCGAATGAGATGGCTATCAATGCCTTCGCCTTATTTAACATACACAGAGATCCAGTGGCCATACAGCACAATATGGGCCTGTTTGTTTCACACAAATCTGGATCGCCATCACCAATCCGAAAGTTGGTTTGCACAAACTCAGCCACAATCATGGAAACGTCGGTCTCATCTGCTCAAACACTGCACACCGCATAAGCCTAGATTAAATCGGCCTATTTTCGTGAAAATTTACATCTTCTGAGAATCTCTTATATAGTATGGAGATTGGGGCAAACGGCTTTTGCTTTAAAAACTATTCTCTGAAACCACTGAAACAAAATCACGCTAACCGTAATTGCCATTTTGTTGGAAAACCAGAATTTAAACCGAAAAAATAGACGTTTTTGTATGGAGTGACAGCGAAAACGGCCTATTTCGTGTTAACCCTCGTCTTGTTCAATGCGTTACTCGTTTCGTCTTGGCTCAGTGGTCTTGAGGCAAACGGTTTACGAATGGTCGGGGTATATACGCTTTCCATTGATATAACACTTGGCTGGTTACTTGCTTTATTCTTATAGGGTCCACTGGGATTGTCCCTTATTCGTCCAAAAAGGGGCCCTCTATTACGTTGACGTGTGTGAAGAACTATCCTCAAAAACGAAGTGTTTGTGATACGCTGAACACGGTGAAAACCAACGCTCATTTAAACGCGTCTTTGGGTTAAGGTAAACGTCAAAGCGTTTAAACTTAAACACCTTTTTGGAAATAAACGCGTTTCGTTGTTCAGAACATGTAACCACCCGATAAACGTGTTTTTATGTCTTGGTAATAAAACCCAAATGTGTCATTATGGCTAAATTTATGAACACTGCAGGTGTTTGTTTAAGAAATAAACACCACAGCGTGTTTAGCTTTGGATTATAAACACCACAACACGTTCATGAAGTGTTTACATGAAAGGCGGTTGAAAGGCGTTAAAACATTTACACTTGTATTTACAGTGACGAGGAGAAAACTAAAGTGCTCGCCCAAGTGCACCCCTTCTGGAACCAAATTAAGATTGACTTCAAGAGATGAACAAGTGCATCAGTATCATTCGCGTTTAGCTTACCAGATTATTATTAACAGCGTTCACCAAACTTTTCTTGCTTTTGAAGTGGAAGATTTGGTCAGGTGTCAGTTGTTCCTCCTTGAAGAGAAAAGAATGACCGAAAAAACGAGTTCTACAAGACATGAAAAATGTTGTGGTATACAGAGTCGAGAAAACACAAGTACATGTACTACCGGGTACCAATATGTCAAACTACATGCTCGTGCAGATAGAATTCATATTAATACTTGGTATCTGGCGAGAGGAAATAGTATTTTACAATGTCAACCCTCATGATTAGCGTGTTATGTCACAAACGCTCTGTGTCAAGCGTGTTTTCGATGGACTATGGTGTTTTTTTGGTCTTACGGTATATCCAGCACGGTAGAGACAAAATTCACTGGTCGCGGAGCCGTCGATGAAGGCAATTTTCTTGCCCGAGATGTTAGATTCGTCGAATCCTCTTGGGTTGCCCTTCTTCACGAAGAAAACGCCCGAGAGTGGTTTACGGAATGCCGTGGTGAAAGAGACAGACGCCGAGCGCTCAGGGGTGGCAAACCAGCCTTGGAGAGAATCATTCCGGGGATAGAAATATTTTCAGTGAGGCTAAGAACACAAGTGGGGGCAGACCTTACAATATTGTGTGGTCTGATTCATTTCCCGTCACGCATGAATGCTCCCAGCGATCTCTAATGGGTCTTATTCAGTTTTGAATATCTACTCAACAAAACACGACTAGATTTAACCAATCGTGTCCTTGTCATGTATGTTTCAATACCTTTGGTAAGGCGTAACGTTACTGCTATTGGTTGGTCTGGTCAAAGTGTGCGTGATTTGAAGACCCTTTCTGTCTAAAATGGCTTCTGTGACCTTAGACCGATTGTTCTAATCGAGTTCATGCAAACAGGCGCTTCTTTAGATTTCGCAAAATGCCGAAAAGCAAAATGTTGGTTGGTTTGATCTGTCCCTTAGTGTAAGTTCAATACAGGAAATAAGAAACCCATCTAAAACTTACTCCTGATGGCACTTGATGTGCATGCACAAGAGCAAAGTAAGGAGGCCGCATGCTTACCAGTGCATGCATCGTACCAACGACCAATCAGTCCCTGTCCAGGGCGTGGCAACTCCCCCTCGTCTGAGGTGTAGCAGTTGTCATAGGCATCCCACATCAACCGGCAGTTTTTATCAGCCATTTGGCACACTAAATAGAAACCAGTGATTTGAAAGAGATTATATGTATACAGAGTCGAGTTCCCGGTTTCGCAACGGTATTGTCCTTTGCCTTTTTTCGTCAGTATACCATGAGCCCCGAGCTGGACCAAGAGAGGGCGCACGTTTGCTAGCAACGAAGGCTCCTTTTGTGGGAACTGCAGCGCTGGTTTCATAAAACGACCATGAAATTGACAAGTTGCTGTCGCATCACCAACCAACAAAAGTGAACAGTCCCAACCCTCCCAACCAACATGGCTCTTTTTAACCGATGAGGGGGTAAACGTTTCTGCTTAAGGCGAATAATGAACACAATCAACATCGTCAACAGCACTGTGATAACCAATGACAGATAGGACGCGGCCGACGAGCCATTTCGATATTCTAACAGGGCGCGCCCAAAGCTGTGAAGCGTGGCCAGAGGTCATACAGGAACAATATAGCAGTGTGCGATTGTCTGTCCTAGAAATCAATGGTCCTATCAGCGCAGCCATATGCCAACTCACCGTGACGCGCGTGCTTTATTCCCGAACAAACCTTGCCTTTTTGAAGTACCGAACTGGCTATTGAGGCCGCACCACCGCCTCCCCTATTAATTGTTTGAATAGTGACAGAAAGGACATTTAGGGGATGTTTTATTTCCCTTATCTCTAAAAGTGTATAAAAGTTCCAAAATTTAGCCTCACCCTTAAGTTAACACGGGCAATTAAAGGTTATACACAGGAATAAAAAAAAATATTCCTCTCCCAGAAAATTGGGTTCTGGATCCTCCTTAAATGACCACCAGTCGCTTTAGTTATCGCTGTTGTCACCTGTTTACTTACCGGCGTCAACAATGTCAACATGGAACCCCCTCAATGTTCCAGTCGTTTTGTCACTGTCAGTGAAAGCAAGAAAAAAAATCTCTCGTAATGAAAATACTCTAAATGACATGACCGACTTACATGAACAGTGAATACATGTACAGTGTACTATCAATTGTGGAGTGGGTACCTTAGAAGTATCTAATGGGGGTGTGTCTTAGGTATACACAAATGTATTGTGAAAGCATGCACTTACAAATACTCCACGTTGGTACCGTCGTGGCCAATCGCAAATATCCATATTTTGTCATCTTTTGCTAGGCTAGAACCTGGGAAAGACAACAGTGTCGACATTAACGTTCCACCTTGATGACTACATGTCATACGTGACCGTATACATGTATAGTCGCCAGGTCCCTCATTTCGCCACTTACTCTGAAAGCTAATCACACTTGACAATACGTGGCGACAAAAAGGAACTCAAGTTGTTCATTCCGCGCCCCTCACTTAGTTGGTGCGCATGCGTACTGAATCCTACTACAGCCAGAAGCCAGTAAAATGGCTCTTGACTCGGACGGGTGGACCCCCCAAAAATTGATCAACATCAAGCTCAGATATCGTTGTTTGCGTACGTGTATGCCATGCCCCAAATCCGGACACTTCATTTTGGACCGCTGTCGGACTCATTGCGGAAATTGGCACGAAAAACGAACCACATTTCAGACAAATGGATCTTGATCTCGTAGAAATGACCAATGGATACGAACAATTCATCAGTCTTCCAGACAGTATCACCGATGACCCGAGGGGAATTCGACAAATGTGTGAAAATTGGGCACTGAGCAAGGTGAAAAACACGGATAATGACGAAAATAGGTCCCAAAGAAAAACGAAGTGATTTGAAAAAAGTGGTGTTCTTCCTAGAATGAACTTTTTTGTTCATAAGAGTTACTAGTCTTTCATATGGCATCAAAGTTACTTGAAGGTAAACCCAGCAAAATTGTGAAAATTAGACACAAAGTTAAGTAAAAAAAAATTAAAATTTAATTTAATTTAATTTAAAAAAAAAAGACCTTTAGCAGAAGATAACATCGAAAGTCACTGCAAGCGCCTACTGTAATTGTCCAGGGAGAGGGATCAAAGGTTTCCTCGCGCAACTTCCGAGTCAAATGCGTTTGGAATTAGGCCCACACCGCTGAGTAAAAACCTCCCCATTACCTGTATTGAAATTTTGAAATACACGCAACAATAATGTACAAACCACATTTCATCGGCTTTCGATACCCACTGGAACAGTTGTGCCCCCGGCGGGTGGGTGGGTATTTACCCCCCACTGTATACCCAGCAAGAAATGAGACCG